TCTGCAGTTCCTTCAGTAAACAAGGTGCGCTCAGTATGCTGAGTAAGCTTACCGAGGTTATCAGTATAAGTTATTACTTAAGCAGTTTCAGTATGGAAATATAAATAGATAAGCAGCTTAAGTTAGAGATAAATACTCAGCAGATTTATACTGGTTCGGGTACCTTCCCCTACGTCCAGTTCTCAAAGTACCGTCCTTTGAGATTTTCAACTATCAGCTCTTTCACAGGTAGAGCAACAACCTTTTACAAACAAGTGAAGTACCTTCCTTCACTTCAGATCAGATCTTCAAGTTGAGTACCGTCCTCATCTTGAAATCTTCTCAACAATGGCTGAACTACTGCAGCCTTTTACAAGTTTACTTTTTCAAAGAAAATGACTCTCCAAGATTCGAAAATGAAGCACTAGTGTTTCTAATGAACACAGATATTACAATTTTTATGTTCCTTTCACTGGAAATGGTTTTTCAAGCTTGGAAATGGTTTTTCAAGCTTTCTCTCACTAAGCACGAGCAGCGTTTCTTTCTCTTAATTTTCCAGCAATTTACTCTTCCATGGCTTCAGCTATTTATAGGCATGGATCATAAATGTGACCGTTGGAGAGCTTTGAATTCTATCACACGCTGTGCCTTTTTCTTCGAAGCAAAATGTATTTGACAGATTTGTTGAAATCTTGTCAGTGATGCTTGAAGAGAGAGAGAGACATGTTGGAGAAGAGGGGCGCCTGTCTGCGCAGGTGAGTTGAGGGAGAGAGGGGGCCACCGTACTGTCCAAGTACACTTTCCTTAAATGCTTTTTATCTTTTTGTGCCAAATTTGTCAAATATGGATCTTTAGCATTTACTGAGGAATCTCCCCTTTGTCCTTTAGCTCCCTTTGGGTATCTCCAACAAAAATACTTAGCTTGATGGTTAATTTCTATTAAACCATAAAATATTAAAAATAATTAATTAAAATTAAGCAAAAAAAATTAGAATTAATTTTGCCTTAATTTTCGTTACCAACAAATCTTAATTGGGAATGCACCATTTCCAACAAAGAAGTGTCACCACTGCCAGATATACGTCCTCATCTGCCGCCGCTCGAGCTACAAGTGCATGCCACCCCGTGGCCGTTCTCAGCTTGGGGTATAGACATCATTGGGGAAGTTTGGCCATCAGCGTCTAACGGACATAGGTTTATCGTCGTTGCAGTAGACTATTTCTCCAAATGGATAGAGGCTGAGTCATACACCAGTATCACTGCCAAGAAGATGGCAAAATTTATTGAGCGCCACATCTTCACATGATATGGCATCCCCCATCACATAGTCTCTGATAACGGAGTACAATTCCAAGGAGAAACCGCAGATTTGCTAGCAGAACACGGGATTGAACACCACAAGTCGTTGCCCTACAGACCGCAAGCCAACGGCGCAGTCGAAGCGGCTAATAAGACCATCAAGAGGATTCTCTCCAAAACAGTTGCTACCTATAAAGATTGGGCCGAGAAATTGCCCTTTGCCTTGTGGGGATACAGAACTTCCATCCGAGGACCTATAGGAGCCACTCCCTTCTCCTTGGTACATGGGATGGAAGCGGTATTGCCAGTCGAGATAGAGTTGAAATCACTGAGGATTATTTTAAAAGCTCAGATACCAGAAGCTGAATGGGCCAGAAACAAATATGAGTAGTTGATGTTAGTTGATGAGAAACGATTGCAGGCCCTGAAAAGTCTTCAAAGATATCAGCAGAGGTTAGCTCGTGTATACAACAGAAAAGTCAGAGGCCAAGTACGGGACATTGAGGAAGGTGATTTGGTGTTGAAACAGTTAAGAGCGACCCATATTGATCACAGGGGAAAGTTCCGACCAAATTGAGACGGGCCATATGTAGTGAAGAAGGTTCTGTCAAAAGGGACAGTGGAGATCACAGACATTGACGGAAACGAGTTCCTCAGCCTCGTCAACATCGACAAGCTAAAGCTGTACTACATATAAAAAAAGAAAAAGCCTGTCAGATCAGAGTCGGCTTGAAAAGCAATGGCAAACAAAGAGTCTTACAAGCTGAAAATCGAAAAACAGCGGCTTAGTAAAAATAAAGATAAAAAATAGCCTGCCGGCTCGGCCTGACGAGAAAATAAATGGCAATAAAATCCTCAACTTGAAAACCTACAAAGGCGACTTGAGACCATCTCAAACTGAAAACCCACAAGGGCGGTTTGATCGACAGGAAAGCAGAGCAGCATCGCAGAATCGAGATACATATCTTCAGACCACAAACTACCTTTGTCCCAAATCTAGGGCATGTAGTTCTATGTTTTAGATGCTGAAAATGAGTAACGAATTTTCACATTATATGTACATGCTGTCTGAAAAACGGCCTAAGCTGATTTCTTTTGTCAAATTATCTAAGGCAATAAAATATTTTAGTTGCATTATTTGTTCATTCATATTCATTTCACATTTCATAAAAAAAAAGAGCCTGTTGGATTGAAAACCCACAAGAGCGGTCCAGCGAAATGAAATGGCTGAATAAAGAACCCGGTGACCGAAAACCCAATATTGGGCGGTCACGCAAAAGTTAGGGCAGTTCGCTTATCATGTTTAATTGAAAATCTGAAAAGACAATTAAGCAGAAGAAATAAGGAAGAAATGTTTCATATATCAAGCAAGTTTGGTTTGTACATCATCAACAAGAAAAAGCAAAAGTCAAAATACAACCGGCAACCCTAGCCTACTCCTCGCCCTCGTCCTCGGAAGTAGAACTCGGGCTGGGGACACCGCCTCGCTCGGCCCACCGCCTGTCAGCTCGACGTCGCATCTGGGCAAGCTCCGCCTCTAAAGTCTCGACTCGGCGCCTCTCCACCGCTATGGTCTCCTGCAGACCATGTCGCTCCGCCCTGAAAGCAGCCTTGTGACGCCCCGTTAGTTTGCAAATAATTTGGATTATTGTTATTATTATTGTTATTAATATTATTGCTATTATTATTATTATTGTTATTTGTTAAAATTGTCTAAGTGCTTAAATGAAATTATGTGCCTATTTGTATATATTAAATAAATATTATTTGTGGTAATTTATTTTAAATATTAAATACTATTTTAAATATTTTATGTATCATTATTTTATACTGTTTCGTTAAACCGAGCATTTGTTAGAACCCCCTCCGAACCGTCCGAAGCCGACCCAAACCGCGCCGCATGTGGGTAACCACTTAAACCGCCGCCCCCCCATTCTTGTGCATGCATGCAACATTAAACTTAAATTTGAATTGAGGTTAAATGTTGTAACCTCCAAACATGATGTAGCCTTTATACCCATTATCACACATTTATGGTGATTTATGGGGAGGAAGACACCATAAGAAGAGATACCCCACCTTCTCTTTTTCCCATTTTCCTCTCCCTCACTCTCTCTCTCTCTCTCTTCGATCACTCTCTCTCGTTCTCTCTCCCTCCCTCGGCCTTCCCGTCCATCGCGCCTAGTCCACGCGAGCCCTCGTCCGTCCCGCAAGGTCAGCCCGATCGCACGTCCCGGCCGTTGGAGCACCCCAGGCCTCAGTTCGTGCCCCTCCCCGTCGCCATCCAGTGCCCAGCA